AAGAAGGACGTATTTGTCGGCCACATCAGAGGAGTCTTCGGTTTTGGACGTCCTTCGTCGCGGCGCTGTGACGTATGCGGCCGACGAATTCGGCCTTCGGAGGACCCGTCCTGCCATTTTGGACACAGCCATCAAGATACAATTTTATGAGGAAAAACTTACCATAAACTTCACCCTGGTGCTAATGAATTCCCACAAAGCTTTTTAGTAATCACTTGGTGAAAGTGTTAGCTAACTGCAGTGTGTAGCATACATACAATGAAACCCTCGTTGATTGGTTGTACGCTAAGCGACAGCGACAAAAGTTGAACATTTTTCAACTTTCATATGTCGCGTCGCAAGCTTGCGTGTGCACGTCTACGTGTACGAGCGCAAAATTTCACATGCACTATTTTCGCCGGTCACTTAGCTGGAGGAGGGCAAGCGATTGTCGCCTCACCGCACAGGYTCCATAGGAAATGAATGGAGAGCGAGCGACGTCGCCTCCCGTGTGTCGAGCCCTTAAGTTTTCACTTCTTTGAATGTGACTGCTCCAATTTAACTTAGAATTTTTGAAAAGTACAAGTCATGACGGATACAGAACAATTAGCAAGTAGGGTTGGGCTGTATTGATTATTTTCATACCGTTTACACGCATATAGCTTGAMATTTCAGAGCCAGTGAGAAGTGTGGTAAAAACCTCAGCTGTTCTGACGTTGCTATCACTCAGAGCAGCAGAGGAGTCACAGAATGATCCAAATAAGTCCAACTACGTCTTTCAAAGGTTTTAAGTGTGAAAATAATCGGACCTTAGCCTTGGCCGTATCCATGCTGCTGCATGCTTTTAGCCAGCTTTTGTGCCGATAAAATTTGTAGTCATTTCCTCATCTTCAGCAACGAGCTCACGGGGGGAAAAGTACTGAATGTTTAAATTCAAAAGGAGTCCAGCTATGGTGGTTTTGACCTCAAGAAACCCGTGGCTGATTGGTCTCAAAGCTGTCTGTCAGCACTATCCGGTCCATCTTTCACCTTTTCAGGAACCAGCGAGTAACATGTCTATCACTACCTCGGTCTGAGTTTTTTTTTTTTACTCTGCTTGGTGCGACAGGCAGGGTGTCTCTGCCCCCCAGTTTGTCTTCTGAATGAGATGAGGTGGTCAGAACATGCGTCTGTAACATTATGGTGTTTTCTGAAAGAGCCTCAAATGTTTATGTCCCAGTTTTCATAGCTGTCTTGTGGAAATTTGGTTCTGAACCCCACGTGACTTATACCATTATTTTTTATATACAATCATATTTTGATAGTACGGTACAAAATACCTTCATAACCCTAAGCCTATTATTAGCAAGGACAAAATTTCCCCATCATCAATAAACAGAAGGAATATGGGACATGTTTAAATCTGCCAGGAGCAGGTCGTCCTCTCAAATGGAGAGAGACCACCAAGACACCTGAGACCACCCTGAAAAGTTACAAGCTTCAGCAGGTGAGATGGGACAGACAGCAGCTACAACACCTGTTGTCCTGGTTCTTCACCTGTCTGAGCGTTATGTGAGAGGGACTAAGAGAAGACATTTGTTGAATAAAACTCTGTTTAGTGACAAGTTGAGACTTAATTTAAGTTTTCTTCAACTGATGTGAGAGCTGATATTGATCACTACATTAATATTGTCGAAGAATCTCTGCTAAAATCTCTGCCCCCTGTTTGTAAGTAATTAAACTTTTGTTTGCAGGGGGGTGGAGGATTTTGATAGGCAGGGCAGGCAGTTCTGTTGGAAGGGTAGCCCGCCCTCCTTGGATAATGATAGGGAAAACCCTGGATATGGTGATTTCTAACTCTCCACCTTGTAAGGAGTCATCAAATGGGTGTTAAAGGGATCCCCGATTAGTTGTAACATTAGACTTTATATAATAAGCATATACTTTAACTGTAAAATAAGGACTGTAAAATACTGTAGGCTGTTTAGTTTTTATAATTTTTAAACTAAAAGTTTAAAAATATAGTACACGGACGGGGCCATTTTATTTACACGCAAAGCATTCTGGGTAAATGTTGACATCAACTAGGTCATCGGTGC